CCTTAAAGACTAACAGATTTATTTGGGCATAAGCTTTCGTGAGTAAAAACCTCACTAGATAGTTACTCAACCTTTCGGTACTGGTGTCCCCAGTGGTACAGGAAGTGTTTCAGCTAGTACCGGTGACTACGGTTCTTACACCAGCTCTGAAAGACCATGCAGTACTGATGCCTTCTCTGCATCTGGTATCTAAGAGGCCAGTTCATTCCAGGGGCAAACCACTGTTAATATCCCCAGATTTGCCACCCCCAGACTCAGCTTATCTCTCTCCTGTCCACATGGAATCTGCTCCACCGTCATTGCTGAACTTGGAGACATCTTCAGTTTCGGAGCTGGGGTCTTTTGTGTCCCATGCCACATGGGACGCATATCCTCCATCAGAGCCTTTGGGTCCATGTGTGTCACAGTACTCCCAGCAGTGGGCACATCTCCAGTGGCCTGTGCAAGTATGGGCCCCGCCTCTAATATGTCAGTGGCATTTTTAGACATTGTGGAGTGTCCCTCCCCCTGCTAGGACCTCCCGTCACCCATCTGATTTGGCTTCCACTGAGATCATCAGCACTGCAGACAACATCCTCTGATGCCCAGGACTGATACGGTGCAGCTGGAAGTTACTCAGACAGCTCCTCTACTGCAAGAGATAGACCATTCATTTCCTCAGCATCCGAGTGCATCTTATTCTTCACCACCAAGTGAGGCTATAGGGAGGGTGAGCAATTCATTGCAACAAGCAGATACAAGGCTTACTGAGAACTGCTTAAAGGAGTGGCCTTGACATTAAAAAGTAAGGAGGAAGATGTCCACAAGAAATTCCATGAGCTAGTGGACATGTTATCTTCAGTAGGGTCCTCCAAATTGGGGCTACTGTTTTAATTAAGCAATTTTGGAGCTGATCAAAATACTCTGGAAGATCCCTTCTTCCCTCCCTCTACAGTGAAAAGGTCAGAGAGGACATATTATGCCCCTTCTAAGGGTTTCAAACACCTCTATGGTCACCCTCCTTGGAGTAGCTAATGAGAGGGAAAGTCAGTGACCCCACGTTTCTTCACTAAAAAATAAGGAATCAAAGACACAGGACTTACTTAATCATAAGCTTTATTCAGCAGGAGGGCTGCAACTTAGAATTGCCAACCAATAAGCTCTTCAAAGTTGCTATGACTTCACTTTATGGGAAAACATCATGAAGTTTAAAGACAGGCTACTGGAGGACTCCAGGCAGAAGTTTGATCTGGTAGAGGAGGGCAAGCTGGTGGCAAGGACAGCTCTCCAGGACAGCTTTGATGTGGCAGACTCAACAGCTTGATCCACGGTGTTTGCCATATCTATGAGATGTTAATGGTTGAAGTCTTCTGGTCTCCCTCTTAAGTACAGCAGACCATGCAAGATCTGCCCTTTGAAGGTCCCTCGCTCTGTTTTTGAACATACAGAAGATAGGCTACATAGCCTAAAGGATTCCAGGACAACACTGTAGCGCAGTTCCGGCTCCTACAGGTTCATGGGTATCAGAGCTTTATACCTCTGCCTCAAGACCTGCTGAGAAAATGGGGCAGGAAGTATAGGAGGTGACCATCTCCCCCAACTCCTCTGTAATAGCAGGTTCCCCTCAGCCAGCAGCCCAGTCTAACCATGTATTTTGACAGTTTTGTCTAGGGCAATATACCAGTTCCTACATGCCTATCTGTACCTACCCATATCTTTGCCAATCATCTATCCCAGTGGTTCTCACCGAGGGGTGAGTGAGTCAGGGGGTGTTGGTGGAGTTCCCTCCCTGGACCCTGCTGTGCGGAGCTGGCTCAAGCCCCGCCAAAGCCAGGGCATTTCTGCCTCAGTCAAAGTTCCAAGTGCTCCAGGTCCTGGTCTAAAAGCACATCCTGTTACCACAGTGGACATTTGTCTCAATCTCTTGGGGCACATAGCAGCATGTACCTACATAGCACAGCATGCCAGACTATGCCTCAGGAGGCTTCAGGGATGACTAGCATGATTAATAGATTCTAGGACTGGAAGGGACCTCGAGAGGTCATCGAGTCCAGTCCCCTGCCCGCATGGCAGGACCAAATACTGTCTAGACCATCCCTGATAGACATTTATCTAACCTACTCTTAAATATCTTTAGAGATGGAGATTCCACAACCTCCCTAGGCAATTTATTCCAGTGTTTAACCACCCTAACAGTTAGGAACTTTTTCCTAATGTCCAACCTAAACCTCCCTTGCTGCAGTTTAAGCCCATTGCTTCTTGTTCTATCCTTAGAGGCTAAGGTGAACAAGTTTTCTCCCTCCTCCTTATGACACCCTTTTAGATACCTGAAAACTGCTATCATGTCCCCTCTCAGTCTTCTCTTTTCCAAACTAAACAAACCCAATTCTTTCAGCCTTCCTTCATAGATCATGTTCTCAAGACCTTTAATCATTCTTGTTGCTCTTCTCTGGACCCTCTCCAATTTTCCACATCTTTCTTGAAATGTGGTGCCCAGAACTGGACACAATACTCCAGCTGAGGGCTAACCAGAGCAGAGTAGAGCGGAAGAATGACTTCTCGTGTCTTGCTCACAACACACCTGTTAATACATCCCAGAATCATGTTTGCTTTTTTTGCCACAGCATCACACTGTTGACTCATATTTAGCTTGTGGTCCACTATAACCCCTAGATCCCTTTCTGCCGTATTCCTTCCTAGACAGTCTCTTCCCATTCTGTATGTGTGAAACTGATTTTCTCTTCCTAAGTGGAGCACTTTGCATTTGTCTTTGTTAAACTTCATCCTGTTTAACTCAGACCATTTCTCCAATTTGTCCAGATCATTTTGATTTATGACCCTGTCCTCCAAAGCAGTTGCAATCCCTCCTAGTTTGGTATCATCCGCAAACTTAATAAACGTACTTTCTATGCCAATATCTAAGTCGTTAATGACTTTATCTGTGAAACAGTCATATGTCCTTCAGAGGTGAGCATAGCCCATCTAGTTTAATCAGAGTACACCATTGACCAGGTTTGTTTTAGGGATTTTATATCTAAAAAAGCTTAATTCGTTTAGAAAACCATTTACCAAGAATAGGAGCATTAGTCCATTTTTCATTTGCATATTATATGACAATCTGTTTGCATAGGCCAAGTGTGGACCATCCCTGGTTTTGTATAAACTAGTATTTTTTTAATATAACAGAGATTTTTCATGAACGAATTATATGTATCACACTTTGTATGCTGGTGTAAAGATGTTCCAAATGCTTGTGTGCAACAGCACAGCCATAGCTCTGTGTGTACACTCAGCACAAATATCCTTTAAGTTCATGCAGAAAGATTACAAACTTCCTACTGTGTTGAAGAAGTAGGGAAATAGTAATCTCGGTCTAAATGCCTTTGGTGCACTTGCACTTTGAAAATAGTGTGTTGCTCTGAGACCTACATTAGCAGAAGGAATTGGTGAGAGTTAAGGGAAGAGTAACTAAACTGGTCAGATAGACTGAGGAAAAACTTCCTGACAGTGAAATCTCCTTAATTGTGGAATAATTTGTCAAGGGAAGTAGCGAAAGCCCCTCTGATAGTTAATTTGAAACTAGACTAGCCAAAATAACAGAAAATCTACTGTGGCAAGTATTTGTGGATGTTTTTGTGTTCACATCTGAAAGCTATAAGAGATAAATACTTGTAAAGCACAATACGTGTAATTATTATTAAGCATGGCTCTCTGTCTGGGTAGCACTGCCAGTATTACAGAAGCATGTGCTCTATCAGTTACTTCTATTACAGTAACTCCTTACTTTAAGTCGTCCCGGTTAACGTTGTTTCATTGTTACGTTGCTGATCAATTAGGGAACATGCTCATTTAAAGTTGTGCAATGCTCCACTCTTAAATTGTTTGGCTGCCTGCTTTTTCCACAGCTGGCAGCCTCCCTACGCTCCGCCCCCCTCCCCCCCCCACAGTGCCTCCCGCCCGCTGGCAGACCCCGCGGATCAGCGCCCTCCCCCCCTGCCCGTGGCAATCAGCTGGCTTGCGGCGTTTCGCGGGCAGGAGGGAGGGGGGAGGAGCGAGGACTCCCCTCCCTCCGCTGCCTCCCCAACGCTGCAAGTGGCATGTAATGTAGATATAGCCGCTGGGATATATAGAGGTTTTAAAAGGCCTAAAGTATCAAAAAAAGACTAATACACACATCCCCTTCAGTTACATTGACTTCTAGGAAGCTATGCTGATTTACAGCAGCTAAGGATCTGGACCATACTTTTGAAAACACTAATCTCACTGTCATTATAACTAAGCCATTTAATTTTTGAAAAATGATACTGCCATTATAGAGGTGGTGTTCTGTTTAATCCACACTATTCTTGAATATAGCAGATCGCCATCAATGTCCTGATTGAGACAAAGCAAAGGCATTACATGGGTGAGATTGAAACATTCATATTTTTTTAAATCATATACAGGGTCCAGTCGGGAAGACCAATCGCAAAATAATGTGCTATTATCCATCTCCCAGAGTAACAGGGCTTGGGAAAATTGTGGGTGTCCCCTGCTCATAGGCCAGCAGGGCTTGACTGTTGGAGGGAGCTGCCCTCCTTTTGAGAGAAGACTGCTACAATACAGGACATTTGGGGTGGGGGGAAAGTCAGAAACTGAAGGAGGCTTGGAAGAAGAGTTTAGAGGATTGCTGTCCTGGTGTGGGGGAGGGAGAGAGATTATGGTCAATAACTGTGGTAGAAAAATATATAGAGAATAGCTGAACTGCATAAAAGCTTTTTGTTTATTCCCCATAGAACACCACAATCATCCAGATTACAACAGTGCAGCACGAAATTGATCAACTAAAGAGAAAGCTAGATAATACAAAAATGAAACTCATAATAGAAATTAAGGTAATCTGCATTTATTCTAACCAACCTGTAAATTAAACAAATAGAGATTTTCTTCGCTATAAAATCTAGAGCCATAAAATATTTGAAATTTTTAAAAGTTAGTTAGTATTTGAAGAGATATTATGTTAAAGCAGGGGTCGGCAACCTTTCAGAAGTGGTGTGCCGAGTCTTCATTTATTCACTCTAATTTAAGGTTTCGTGTGCCGGTAATACATTTTAACGTTTTTAGAAAGTCTCTTTCTATAAGTCTATAAACTATTGTTGTATGTAAAGTAAACACGTTTTTTAAAATGTTTAAGAAGCTTCATTTAAAATTAAATTAAAATGCAGATCTTATCAGTTTAGTGCAGTGGTTCTTAATCTGGGGTGCACGCACCCCCTGGGCAGGGCCGGTGCAAGGATATTTTGCGCCTAGGCAAAACTTCCACACGCACCCCTTGCACATCTGTTCATTGAGGGGCAAATCCCAACGAGCCTTTATAGACCTCAGGGACCAGCCATGCCCAGGGGCTGCTCCCCAGACCAGGTTACCCCCTCCCACCCCCGAACTCCTCTGGAGGGTGCACAGCCCCCCCCGCGAGCCCTCCGCACCCCACCCCGGTGGCCCCCACCCCGAGTCCACTCACTGGCTTTGTCAAGCTTGGGCCGCTGCAGCAGCTCGGCAGGGAGAAGCCGCCTTCCGGATGCACTGGAGAGCCAAAGCGTCCCACTTGCGGCGGCGAGCCCCAGCCATGGAGGAGCTGGCACGGTGCAGGGGGGCAGCAGCCCTGCAAAGGCGGTGGCAGCGGCGCTAGCGGGGAACAGCTGTGTCCCCCCGCCCCTCCTGCCCAGCCTGTGGGCTCCAGCCCCCATGCATCCCCTGGCTCCCACCTCGCCTAGGGTTACCATATTTCAACAATCAAAAGAGAGGATCGGGGGGGAGAGAGCCCTGCCCCCATCCACTCCCTCCCACTTCCCACCCCCTGACTGCCCCCCTCAGAACCCCCAACCCCCCCGCTCC